TACTACTACTACTACTACTACTACTACTACTACTACGACTACTACGACTATTACTACGACGACCACCCTGTAACGCCCCTCGCGGGGACCGGAACCAATTGGACGCAGTCTACTTGTTGGGGCGTCAGGCTACGGATGAGGTAGAGGAGGAGGAGGAGGAGGAGGAGGAGGAGGAGGAGGAGGAGGAGGAGGAGGAGGAGGAGGAGGAAGAGGAGGAGGAGGAGGAGAGAGAGGGGGAGGGGAAGGAAGGATCAGGAACAGGACGAACGAGAAGGGGGAGGATGACGACGACGAGCAAGAGGAGAGGGAATCACGCCCGCCCTGGAGCCCCTTGATGTCGCCTTGGGCCTCCTAGAACGTCCTGGGGAGTCCTGTGGCTTGTTTGGGCTCTTTGGGGCCTCTTGGAGCCTCCTGGGCCCTCGGGAACCTCCTGAATATAATTCAAAATGGGTCCTCCTGGGGGCTCCTGAGATCTCGTGGGCTCTCCCGGGGCAACCATGGGCCCTCCTGGAGTCTCCGTGGGCCCTCTCAGAAGCCTCTCGCGGGGGCGGAAAAGTAAAGACAGTTTCGCGCATGGGAGCCTGCCCGTTGAGAGCACGGGCGCGGTGCAGAGTGGGTCCTCGTGGGTGCCTCCTGAGATCTCGTAGGCTCTCCCGAGGCTGCCATGGGCCCTCCTGGAGCCTCTTGAAAAGTGACGACAGTTTCACGGTTGGGGGCCTTTTCCGTTGAGAAAGCGAGCGCGGTGAAAGTTAATTTGAAGGAATTTCTGTGGAACTCACGTCATCCTGACACCCGGCGCACGAGGTACTGGCCCCGCCGACGGCCCCCCCTTGTTCCGCTCCCGGCGAGATCTGGCGGGTCTGGCGACGAATTTCAAACCGGCGCCCTCGCGTGGGACACCCTCAAAAAAACGCTTCCAGAACCTCCCCGAGAAGGCCCTCAAATCCCCCTGTTCCGTCTCTGGCGAATCCGGCGAATCCGGCGACGAATCCCGAACAGGCGCCCTCGCGTGGGACATCAGAAGCGAGATCCGGCGAATCCGGCGACGAATTCCAATCTGGTGCCCTCGCGTGGGACATCCTCAGGAAAAACCGTTCCAGGAGCCTCCCCAGGGAGGCCCTCAGAGGCCCCCCTGTTCCGTTTCTGGCAAGACCCGGCGAATCCGGCGACGAATTCCAAACCGGCGCCTTCGCGTGGGACATCCTCAGAAAGGACAGTTCCCGCAGCCTCCCCAAGGATGCCTCAGAGACCCTCCTTGTTGCGTTTCCAACGAGATCCGCGACATCTGGCGAATCGCCCGCGAACCCGCAAAATCCGGCGACAAATTCCAAATTCCAAACAGCCTCAGAAAAACTGGCTCTGGAGCCTTCCCAAAAGAGGCCCGATGCCCCCCTGTTACTGTTCCGTGTCTGGCGAGATCCGGCGAATCCGGCGACGAATTCCAATCTGGCGCCCTCGCGTGGGACATCCTCAAAAAAACCAACCCCAGAGCCTCCCCAAGGAAGCCCTCAGAGGCCCTCATGTTCCGTTTCCAATGAGATCCAAGAAATCCGGCAAATCTGGCGACGAATTCTAAACCGGCGCCTTCGCGTGGGACATCCTCAGAAAAAAACGCCCCCGGAGCCTCCCTAAGGAGACCCCTATAGAGGCCCCCCTGTTCGATTTCCGGCGAGATACAGCAAAGCCGGCGAACCAGGCGACGAATTCCAAACCGTTGCCCTCGCGTGGGACATCTTTAGAAAAGCCGCCCTCGCAACCGTAGCCATTTTGGCTCAAGTTTGGCTCAAGTGTCCAAGCTCACCCGGCTCACATCCGATACCCTTACTTCACTTTTCCCTCGCATCCTACCGTTTGCCCTATCATCTCTTTCTCTCTTCTCTCCCCACTGCGGATCGAAGCCTGCCATGCCGGCGAGCACGCGGCAGCCAGGCACCCCAGTGCGTGGAGTGCTAGGCGAACGCGAAGTCCGGCAACGCCTTTTCAATCCACTTCACGAAATGGACGGCC